CTGGGACTGCCAGTGCCAGGGGGTGCCAGGGAGCTGGAAGCGGAGCCGGAGCGCTGCCCGCGCTGTTGATGAAATGCCAAAGGGCACAGCGAGCAGCCCAGCTCCCGGCGCTGGCCCGAGGGACAGCGGTCCCTGCCCCCAAGGACATGCTGTGCTGCGCGTCCCCGCTGCCGCTGCCTGTCCCAGGCCCCGCTGCACTCATGGCCCCGGCGGTCAGACTGTCCCTGCCTCCCACCGCAGGCCCGAGCTCCGGGAGGGGAGGCCCAGCCTTTCCTTTGTACATTTATTTAGAAAAACAACCAACCAACCCCCCCTCCCCAAGACAGAACCAACAAACTTTACAGAGGCAACACTGAGGGGCCAAGCCCCAGCCGTACCAGCCACCACCCCACTGGCCACCCCTGCACCACGAGCCCCGCCGTGGGGCCACCACAAAGCAGCAGGGCCTGGCCACTCGGCCAGGAGGAGCCCAGTGGTCCCCAGGGCGGCTTGGCCAAAAGCCGCCCGCAGCTTTCCAGGAGGGGTGGGTTCAGCGGACGGACAGACAGACGATGGCACAGCACCGCTGCCTGGCACCCCCTGCTCCAGGCAAAGCCCCTGGGCTGGCAAGAGGTGGGGTGCAGGCAGAGCTGCCAGGCAGCATGAGTGCTGGAGGCGAAGGCACCGGGGTACAGGGGACTGGGGGACGGGGACAGGCCTGGGGGCAGCGCAGGAGACTGCAGCACAGCAGCCCCGCTGCCCTCCAGGGAAAGTGCTGGGAGACGTGGAGGGGGGCGCAGGCGCCTTGAAATAAATTAAGGAAATAACCAGAAAGGCAACGGTGGCGTGGGGAGTACGAGTCCCCTGTCCCCCCTGCTCAGGGGAGCAGCACAAACCTGCCACTCACTGCCGGGCTGGCCACCCTCCCCACGCCGTCTGTCGGGAGCACTGCGCTGGCCACCGGGCTAGCTGTGGAAGGAGCCCACTGCCGGCCGGTGCTGCCAGGGCCCGGCTGCAGGGCAGAGCTCCTGGGGCAGCGTGGTGGGGTCCAAGGCAGGGGGGCTGGTGGCTGGCTCCTGGGGCCGGGGCGGCCGCC